TTATCAACTACTATTTTAATAAAAGCTCTGTATATTGCGAATATTATTATACTACCTAGCATGCTACAGGTTGTAGATTAGCTTCAATCCATTCATGAATTAAAGAAAGTGCTGAATGCACAAGACCAAAGTAACTGCATTTTAAAGCTCCTGCCCTACCAATTAATTCACAAAAGCAAATTTCAGCGCATCAGCGTAACCCTAGCAAATCCAGCAAACTCCAGGTGGGCAGACACCTTGAAGAGTGCACACTTCAAAAGTTTCTGTCTTGTGAGAAATTAAGCTCTAAAACAAAAAGTACAAAGAGAAAATTACTGTGTATTTTACAATTTAAAAAATGTTAATGCAACCACCATAACAGGACCTATACATTAGTCAGCTTTATTTTGTATTATTTTTTTAATTGAGTAATTTCCTTTTTATTTAAAAACAAATTAAAATTCATGGCATCTGAAAGATACTGTACATAGATGCTAAATATGTTTGAAGTCAGAATAGAAGACAATACCAACTATAAAGCAAAAGTGTTAACAACAGACTGTTAACAGCCTGTAGACAGTTTGCGGCTTGCCAGAACTATTCACCTGGCACATGGCCTGCTTCAGACAGGCCTTTTCCTCTGTGCCTTCACAGGCGAGCTAAACCGTGCTGGTGACAGCAGCCCACCTCCAGAGGCCATTTTTACCAAGGACGGCATTCAGCCCTTTCCTCTAACACTGAATCTATAGCAGAAACAGACCAGCCTGTTGACTCTGCTACAAAATTAACTCCATCTTGACCACCCCCTGTTTCTGCAGGAACAAGGATTTGTCTGTGCTACTACATGCAAAAGCAGCATATTCTCAGTCGCATAATGGGATACTGGAGAATAGTTATCTAATGATCCCCTCCTGACTATGGAATGAGCCAGGATGCCTACCCAACATGAAAGTTACCCAGAACTTTTACTATACAAAAAGACAAAAATGCATCTACCTGCAGCCGCTGGAACACCCCTGACCGCAAATTCCCAAATCCATAACGGTACTGTAGTGGTAGCGTGCTTTCTGCACTTTCTTCATAAAGGGTCTGCTCTATTTCCCAGTCAAATTCTTCTTCCTCCTCCTCCTCTAACTCAGCAGAGGCAGCTGCATGTACGCATGGTCAGAGAAAGAAAATCATTACATAGAAAATATATATGATTTAATAGAAAGGCAAACACTGATAACACAAGAAGCTTTTCTCATTTTACTACATCTTTTAAGAAAACTTATACGACACTGGGTCACACAGGCAGCTGCTTACATCAGTAATCCATAGGTCCTGCTCCAAATTCTTCAACTTTCAAAAATAAAAACCAGGAACACTAAAGTTTTTAAGTATACTCACTCAAAGACTGAAATAATTGTTCTACTGATTGCAACAAGATCAGAATTTGATGCTAAGAGAACCCTGACAGGAGCAGAGTGATGTTATCAATAATTTAAGATAAATATTAAAAAATTAAACATAGATAGTCAAATCTTCTTGTCTGTTAAATACTGATGTTAAGCAAGTCATCCACTAGAACCTGTGGTTTTAATTAGCTTCTGCCATTTGAGCTAAAAGTCCGGTTGTGCTAGCGTGTAGAAAGCAGAAGACTCAACTGTGTGTGTATTGTACAGCCACTAGAGGGGTACAAAGATCTACAGAGGATTAGCATACGTTAAGCACATTTTGGAAAAATGTAAACATAACTAAACCTATAAAGATGATATGCATATCACCTAAAATACATTTATTTTTATCCTTAGCCATACTTTCAGATTCATTCACACCCTTGTGTACCTTGGACTAGACAACATAATAGAAATACTTTATTTTTCTACATATATGACTACGTAGATCTATAACTATTTCACTATGTACATGTATCACTACTATAAATATGATCTTTTTTCATACCTATCTCTTCTACTAAAGGTTTTCCTGATCTTGATTTCTTCGGTGCTAAAAGAGACGTCAGCATGTCCAGTCCCTCAAAATATTGGCCAGGAATCTCCTTAGGTAACTGAATTGTAAAAGTTCCTTAAAGGGAAGTCAAAATACAGTTATTGCATTAAAATATCCAAGACAAACAAAAATGTGCATTTTTCATCTAATGAAAAAGGCTCACAGAAACTAGGACACATGCAGGTCGCATTTTATTATGCATCAATCTCTGTGTATGTTTTTAAACTTACTTCACAAGTTTCACAAAAATAAAAGATTTTAATGATAAAGCATGGAAGAGAATATTTAACCAGTTGTGGTCTCTTGACTCACATTGTATAAACACAAACCAACAGAATACAAGCTTTATTTTATTTTGAATCCTTCCACCAATCAAGCAATCAACAGACCATAGGAAACTACATTCAGCGATCTGATTATTGTCTCAAGTCAAGCACGTAATAAAGGCTTTGCAAGCAGCAAATTACAGGTTTTATTCCTTTTTTTAATGAATACATTCATTCCATAATGTACATATCTTCTCCCAGAAATACCTTCCACCTTAAGGTGTGGAGAAAGGCTAATGTCTTCTTTCTTAGACTGCCTCAGGATTATCTCATTTCTCCTCAGCCCTACCTGACTTCTTTGCAGATTTACTAGATTAATGATCTTGGTACAAAACATGTCTAGCCTTCACAGGGCTTGAAGAGGACATGTACATAATTTTTTCATTACTAGGACAGTTCTGAACACATCCTTTGTGCTTAAAGATGGCCTAAATACGTACAATAAATCCTGAGCAAGATTTTTTTATACTATATAACATATGAAAAACTTCACATTTATTTACAGATTAGTATACTTCAATAAAGTTCTATGCAATTCCAGTGCAGCAAAATATAAACTATTGGACAGTTGGTAGCATTTTTAATGACACCTATACTAAGAATATTAACTAGTACCTTTGTCTGTATTATAAGATGCTTTTTCTCTGCCATCTTCTACAATTCTTCCAGGAAGCGTCAATCTGCAGGCAAAAAATGAGATGCCTCATTGAATGCTTTACTAATTCCGCAGCTTAACATCTCAGCCTATAAAAATGTAAAGCACATTCCAAAAGCAGTACAAAGAACTTAAGTACATGACTCCTGTTGACACTAATGTTTACATTCCTGTTTACTCTGAGGGTAGTGAGACAATGGCCCAGGTTCCCCAAAGAAGCTGTGGCTGCCCCATC